CAGCCAGTGCATGCAAATGGCCCACAAGCAAACAAGGACGATGGAGCAATAAGAGATGATATAATTCAACGCCACCGGAAGAAAAATGTGATAAGGTACCAGGTGCTACGAGGTCTCTCGGGGAAAAAATCAGGGTTAAAGTGACTAGCTACTCCTCGTCTAATTCAAACAGAGGATTCGCACACAAAGTGACTGCACTTGTGGTCCGTTTGGTGGGGCTAGAAGATGGGTCGGTTGGGCAATTCGTGGTAATTGTTGTATTCGTTGCATCAGTTGAGCCATTCGAAATGTTGTTTGTTACGTTCGAATCGGTTGGTGGAATTTCCAGTTCCGTTTGAACCGATGGATCCGTTGACTCTGTAGGACGATCGCCAGCGTTATCTGCTGCTCCTGGTGAATCAATAAAGGCAAAGCGATGAGCGAGATTCAATTGGGAATTCGTCTGATTCGGTGACATAATTACGCTTTGGAAGGCAAATGGTGGTAAACATGAGATCGGGAATTTTTGTTGTGTGATGAACAGTGTAAGACGTAAATATTATATTTCATGCAAGTTTCCTTTAACATTTTCATGAGAGCAAGAAAAAGCATAATGATCACAGAATGTGTTGAATTGGACTAGTTCGTGGTAATCTCATCAGCTGTGTACATACATTCAGATCACGTCTGGTTAAGAGTGACAGGTGAAAACACACGGGGAAGAGAAATCACTCAATACGAAGGCCAAAGGTCACTAATATGAACCGGGTTGGGCATAGGGGCAGGGAGCGGAATCACTGCGGTGGGGGGGAGACCCTTTCAATAGGTTCCAAGTCTTTTGTGCCACACATAAGGTTATAGTGTTCTGCTCTGAGACAAGTTTGTTGTCTTATAGGTGCAGAAAGGAAAGTGTGCGAAATGTCCACCATTTTAGCATGAAGCCAGCATTATCAGCCGAGGTTGCCGAAAGATCTTATAACGCAGTTCCCGTTTCGAAAAGCACAAGTGGACATATTCACAATTTCTCCGGCATCATCTTCACAAAGCCACAACTTGACGTACTGTTACTTGGTTTGAACTTCAAGATTCCCCAAAAGAAGTTGAACGAGATTCAAACAAAAGTTGAATTCGAAAACCTGTTTGACCAATTGAAAGATCTTTCGGCAACCTCGGCTGATAATGCTGGTTGGCTTCGTGCTAAAATGGTGAACATTTCGCACACTTTCCTTTCTGTACCTATAAGACAACAAACTTGTCTCAGAGCAGAACACTACAAAGCCATACGAGAATTGCGGATGATGTCCGAATTAAAACTTCTTTTTTAATTTATTGAATATACAAATGTACAGTCAACTTTCACGAAGGGGGCTGTGGCAATACAAAGGCTACCTGGGGAAATACAGAAATAGGGAAGACGGGCGGCGGTGGAGCGGTTCGAACCCGGGACTTCCGGGTCACAATTTGGTGACCTAACCGCCCAACTTCCAGAACTAGTACCAAGTTCAGAGCTAAAACAGTGGACCTAGCCAACCAATTGTGTGTTGATGATCAGGGATTGACTAGTGTCATGTCAGGTCATTGGAAAGCATTAGAATAACTTAGAAAGCACGACAACGTTGCTATTTCAAGATCCGACAGAGGATCTGAAGCGATCATCATGAATAAACAGGATTATATTCGAAAAATGGATTTTCGGATGGAAGCAGATTTGCTCCTGACCGCTCTGGACTGGATCAAACAGCGACTGTGGAACAATCCATTGCACGCGAACTACGTCAGTTGCATCAGGGTGGCCATATTAGTAGTGCCATACTTGCTTATCTCATCCCCCGAGGCTCTCGGCTACCTTGTATGTACGGGCTCCCCAAAGTTCACAAGGATGGAATTTCACTACGACCCATACTATCTATGATTGGAGCACCCCACCAAGTCAGTGAAATGGTTAGCCAAACTCATTCAACCAGTCAAAGAAAAGTTTTTAAACTACTCTCTGAAAGATTCGCTCGAATTTGTTGAAGAAATCCGTGATCTTAATGTTTCTCATTAACACATGGTCCCAAATGATGTTTGTTCCTTGTTCACTAATTTTCCTCTTTGTGAAACTGTGGACATTGTCTGTTCATATGCCGACGAACTCAATATTCCATCGCAGTCTCCGAAGATTAGTACTTCTATGTACTAAAGATGACCAGTTCTGCTTTAACGGAGATTATTGTTGTCCAGTTGAGGGAGTTGCACTGGGTAGACCACTGGGAACGGTCCTAGGTGATATACTTATGGGGAAACTGGAGAATACAAAACTGAGGCAATGGAAGAACACACTTTTACGGCCGTTACGTGGATAACACATTATTCATACTGAATGACAGCGCGCATGCACAAGTTATGCTTAAAAAAACTCAACTATTCACATCCGATTATTAAATTTACGGTGGAGCACGAATCCGAATATTCCTTCCAGTTCCTAGATGCCGGATTGACCAGAGAAGAGGATGGACCTCCCATCAGATCCGTATTTCACAAGCCGATTTGGACGGGACAGTATCTTAATTTTAGAAGTTTCTATCCAATACAATACAAACGATCGTTGGTGTACAGTTTATTCTCTAGAGCCAGGATAATCTGCTCCAGTGTAACGTTAGAGTTCGATGATCGCTGCACATCCACAGCGCTGCACGAAAATGGATACCCTAAAAGGTTTATTTCAAAGTACGGAGCACCGTTGAACAGAAAAGAACAAAGTGAAACGCCTCAAAAAACTTTTTTGGCACCATACCCGTTCAAGGTGAGCAAAATGATAGGTGGATACAGCGCAGTTTGAAACAAGCGATTGAAAGAACGTATAATCTTACCGCTCTTATAATACTGTACGACAAGAGGCGAATGCTCATTGAATCCAATCTAGACAAACCCGACTCTTCAGTTACCTCCTGTGTTTCCTTGCGGTAGCAAGTACGTCGGAAGAACTGAGAGACGATTGACTACCAGGATAGGACAGCATGCACCGAAGAATTTGGCTCCCAACGCGTCTATGCTTCCGCCGACTTCAATAGCCCGTCATATATTGGATTGCAAAGAATGTGACAAACCTAGGGACGCCTTTTGTGTCTTGATCCGCGAGAAAGGTCGCCGTCTATTATGATTCGCTGAAGCAGCTGCCATTCGACGCTACCAGCTCGACTGTGTAAACGGACCGAATTCGTGGCTAGCCTCGTGCTGCCATGGTAGGTGTTACTGTAGTTCATCTCCCCCCTGAAGTGATTCCGCTCCCTGCCTCTATGCCCAACCCGGTTCATATTAGTGACCTTTGGCCTTCGTATTGAGTGATTTCTCTTCCCCGTGTGTTTTCACCTGTCACTCTTAACCAGACGTGATCTGAATGTGTGTACACAGCTGATGAGATTATCACGAAATAGTTCAATTCAACACATTCTGTGATCATTATGCTTTTTCTTGCTCTCATGCAAGTATTATAACCAGGAGAAATTACCGTTTCAGTAGCCTAACCACCTGCCCAATAAAACAAGGACTGCACTGAGTAGGGTAATACTGGACCAATTTTCTAAAACTGGCTGGTTTCTAGGGTTCGAAACTTGAGTCTAGAATCTTTTACGTTAGTGAAATGAAGAAGCGATATGAAAAGAGACTGGAATTTTACAATTATGAAGGGCGAATATTTTTAAGAGTAATAGATATGAGTAGGATTGGGGAATATAGTCATTCGTATTATTGAGAGTAATATTAATCTATTCCACCTCAAAGTGACACCATCAGTTCAGGTAGGCTATGGACCACATCATCGATTAGGTTGACGTAAGATTGCGGTGATTTCAGTGCCTAAAGGAGGAGCCTCTGAAAGCATATCAGTCGCCAAACAGCTTTACTGCAAAGAAAACATAGGATTTAATTTGAAAGAGCTAGAAAAAACTCTTTAAACATAGACAATGATTTAGACTCGACCCAAGTCAAGTGTTTATTTTCACTGAACAAGGAAAGCTACTCGAGGCTTAGCGGATCAGTTTCAAGTTCTGTGATCAAAAGATAGTGAATCTGCGAGATGGAGGGTGAATCAGTTTTAAGCGAGAAAGTACAGCGAGTGATGCACTTCATGCCAAAAAGGTTAGAAACTGTGATGGTGCGATAAAAGCACCCGTGTTATTTCAAAACCAATTATTTATGGCGAGACTAAGAGTCAGTTGTACCTAGTCTACAACCCGATTAGAGATTTGAAGAATGGCTTCTCAGACTTTCCTTCCCATGAGAAGCATCCCTAGCACGAGATTGTTCTAACACAGGTTGTGAAAGCAGATCGGGGACCCCGAACGATGATATCCATTTACCAAAAATATCATCTCTCAACCATACTGAAGCCGTTTTAGGAGTACAAATCAACAACAGGGCTCACAGACCTAATCTCTTTGAAACGACTAAGCATTGTGATATATCAAGCACCCCGGATCTGGGAGCCTTACCTAGATAGCGTGTCTAATGGACTGCGGTTTCAGTCAAAAGATGAATGGCAAATCTCACGAGTTAAACCAATACTTTGATTAGGGCGGTGGACACGTAAAAAAAGTCAGAATATTAGCAGTGTGTCGCTTTCAAACCAGTTCAGTTTCAGCCAGTTTTCACAACCTCGCATTGCAAAGCGACAATTTTATATTGTCTTTAGGCTATCCATTCTTTATGAATGAGGAGTAAATCGAACAGTTAAAAGTGAAGTGTTCTATCAAAAGAAATATACGGAAAGACAGTAAAATATTTATATGACCGCCTGGACGTCATCCTGGAAACGTCTATTTCACTCGAGCATCAAGATATCTACTGCTTATCAGGAATACAGTATATCGTAAGGCTCGGAATCTACATCAGGTTAGGTTTACTAATTGACAACGCTAAAAAACAATAAAGAGCTTCAAATCTAGGTAACGACATGGTGGGGTGGGCGGGTGTGAATCAGTGTTCAGTTCACTTCAAACAACTGACCTGTCGTGCGACAGTTTTGGTTGTAACGCCTCGGTTACCCAATGGATCGATCAATGAGGAGTCAGCAAAAAATCGGATGAAACCCCGATAGAGACAGAAAGTAGGTAAGCTAGAAACGCATCGAAAGCGGGTATTTAAAAGAGTGTCACTGTTTACGACAACTGAGTGATGTCACGGCATCTGTAAGTGCAGACTAGATTGATCACGAGACCTAATGTAACCATTAAGTAAGTCCCGTCAGTAGAGTTTTCAGACCCACCTTCCAGGGAGTAGTTTGACCGCCCTTGGTATTCTACCTCAGAAGCCAAAGAAGTCTATCCGGTGACATGATCAATGCGCAACCCAGCCACCGAAACTTAGGGAGACAAAACACCGGTGTCTCCGTATGCCCGTCATGATCCTACTTGAGAAAGGTTCAGTAAACATTGGTTGATGAATCAATAGGGGGCACTATCACTATCCATAGGGAGCAAAGTTGAATCGATGCCGAAACTGCTACACCCCGGAATACCCTTTTACTCTGGTCGACCAAGCAAATAAAATGTTCAGATGAATTATTGTACTGGTAAATAGACTTATTAGGGCCGGATTACTGCAACCCAAAGAACATAGTGCCTGGGTGCCGTTTGTTGTCTTTTGATAGGGCAAAATAGAAGTGTGATGCTATTATCGCGTACCATGAGGCTGCAGTTGTACTTCGCCCGAACCCTTTCGCGACAGATCGGTCTCGGAAGAGTTATTTCCAGAGAAGTGCGGAGTAGTGCGGCCGGATCCACTGCGTTTGTTGTCGGATCTTCTCCCGGATACACCAGCTGCGGTCTGTGCACACGCGTCACCACTGAAGTTGCGACGCCTAGTCTCACGTCGTCGGGCTTTTTTCCTACATTGGAAGTGACAAAACAAAGTGTGCGGAGAGGGGAGACGAAAATCAGTGGTACTGCAATTTCGGGGAAAATGGACTGGTGAAAAAGCCTTTTTTCGTCAACTTGCTATTGCGGGGTATGGCTGCCAATCCATTAAGTTACTGCTTATCGGGGTGACGAACTAAGCCAAGCATAAAAAAATCAAATCTAATCATTAGTGTAGAAGTAAATGGGGCCGACTGAAGACTGGTCTAAAAGATACATAGTCTTATTACGATGATACCGAACTATGGGCTTCGCCCCACAACTGCTTCTAATTGAATAAAATGTACGGTCAAGCCTAGCCAAATTCACCAGAGGGTTGTCCACTAAGAATACAAATTAACTTGATGTTTTCAATACAACTTATGGAGTGGAACACAAATAATCGAACACTGGTTAAAAAACGAGTACCATGGCAAATGCTTCGATAATTGATCGAAAAACCACGGAGCAGGGTAAGCTGATAGTAGAAGCTGAGGTGAAGTTGGTGCGACAGAGGATGTCCATGTGTGTGCATGTACCAGGAACACGAATGAAATGAAGCCAGGTGCATGTCGATCAAGGATAGACTCAAAGAAGGTGTATATATAATTATCACCGGCTTGTGGGTCAGCATGGAGCTGACGCCATAAGCATAACAACAATAGTAGGAGATGCGAGGTGGATTGGGATCAGCTATGAATCCGTTGCGGAGCTGTTTCAGCAAGCATATACAAACGAAGGTTAAAACGATGAGCAAATTGTTTGATTCCTGTGACAACAGTAAGTCCTTTTGCTGCCATGTGAACTCAGTTTACCACACACACGAACAAATGCCTCAGTATGGTCGGGAGTGGGTGTCTCGAAATGGCCATTCGTCCCGAACTCCTCTAGAAATGCTCCCAAAGGACCAAGCGCTTCAAATAGCTTCTGCTGGTAGTCAGTCTAGGGGAGTTGGCTAAACCCTGATTCCAAACCACCCACACCTGGCGTAAGAAGCTCTTATTCTTACAGACAATCATGAACCAAAATCACTGCAGTGGTTAATGAACTATTGACTTGATCAACGATACACTAAACGCAACTGACCTTCGGCTTGCCAGTGTATGGTGTAAGGCCTCAACCGTGTCACGAGGAGAGTAATCCACATGTTGATCATGCGCAGAGAAGTTTACAGACCGACGGCGTTGGCGACCAGTTGTGAGTATCCCCATTTCACCGGGATGGGAATTGAAAGACACTAATTTTTCATTGGACATACAACGACGCATGCCATTGCCCCATGGAGATTGCCGACGTCTTAATTCGTGAAACGTGGCAGGTGGGTAATGTAATGTTGGCTGCGATGGAACGGGATCGTCTGCCTCGCTACTACTAGCAGTCGGAAATTCATCAGATGAAAAGCACAGATCCGCACGTGTGTCGGCAAGTCCAGAAAAACGGAGGGCACTGGAGGGAGTTAGCTGCTCGTCACCACTCGATTCTATTCAAAAAAAGGAATGGCAATTCATAGGTTGTAAACACAACTGGGCGAAAGAAACACATAATAGGGACAAGCGCGACACTTGGTAGCGCACTTCATGTGTCTATCCGATTACTGCAATGAATTATATGACTAATCAATCAGTTAAAATTACTCTCACATTGGTGACGACGAGGTTACTCTACCCCAAAATCGTGACCAGGAACAGCAAATGTTGCAAACAAAAATCAAATATCTACTTCACGTGAGAAAGTATGGATATCAACGGCACCCGTGGTCATTTAGTGATCTGACTTTCGTTACGTTCCGGTCTACTGTGCAAATAAATATTAGGCTAGGCAAAAAGATAAAAACCATTAGCACAATTGACGTTTCAAAATGTCAATCGGAGTTGGAAGGGGTTCATTAAAAAATAATAATAATGCTAATAAGCAACATGCTGATTAAATACACATTGTAAAGGCGAAGAATGTTCTTTGAAAGATCACATTCGGCATTTGGATGATTAATTTTATGAGTCATGAGATTATTAAATCGCACAAGATAGTGTTAGGTGAGTGTGAGCAATATATTCCACAGGTAGATAACATACTATGAGATCATACGAAATGAATAGGAGGAACTAAATGAAGCATGTGTGCGATGCAGGCAATGGGCAAAGGTGATAGAATGAAAGAAATGTGTGTGTAATTTGGTGTTTGACAGTTTCGCTGTGGTTCGGCTCAATAAAAACACTTATTCCAACGGGGCCAACAGGGTTCATTCATCCAAGTACCGGGATTCAGGTTAACGGCTAACGTAAATAAGCAGCAAGTCCCCGTGGCCAGGGTGATTGTTTATCACATGATGGTGTCAAAAACTTCTGACTGAATAAAAAGGCACCATTGCTATTACCGCGACTGTGAGAATCGTGTCTCATGATTCCTTGTAAGGACCAAACCTTATTGACCTACTCTATGCAACGCGCTTACAACTGTTTTGTTTGCCCAACTTCGTCATTGTTTGCTTTTTACATTCTCATGATCATTACATATGTTCTCATTACTTACTGCCTATCCGTTCAACATATTAGGCACACTCACTTAACACTATCTTGCGCCATTCAGTAATCGAACTAATTATGCATCTATGGGAATGTTTTATGATCTAAATTGAATTTTCCGAAGTATGGACATTTGGTTCGCCTAACTAGGTGCATTTTCGCCTGAGATTGGCAATTTGTTTGCAAACACTTCATCACACGGTGCATTTCGACCTCAGTACCAATTAGGAACAATCCCCGGGTTCTTTCAGGAAGGGTTTGTTACCGATAAGGATTCAGATGATAAAATATCACAAACGGTCGTCCGTACGAACTCAACACAGTGTAGTCCGGTCTCACCACAGGACACAGAACGTTGTTTCTCTAAGTCAGAAAGGGATAATGAGAAACGGTTGAATATCTCCACAATGAATGGCTGTGATAGACCGTCATAGAATGGACTAAAACAAAATACAATGAACCGTAGTTCAACTGTCACGGATTAGGTTTTTTGAGACCTGGATCGATTTGAAGGTTTTCACAACCATGTCCATGAAATTAGGTTATGCATAAAACCAGTTTAAGAATGCGCATGCGTATGTGAAGCTAACTAATTGAAGAACGCTAGTCAAATGAACATAAATAAACACGAACATAAACAATTTCACGTATTCGGAGAAAAAACCGCACAAAATGTGGATGAAGAAAAACAAAACTGACGGCTTTGATCATAAGAGAACCAGGGGGAAAAGAGTGTCTGCGGTAGCGTGTCAACCGACAGCAATCAACCAGGGAACGACTGCGATTCAATATATTTGGTACAATACTCTTTATAAAAAAGAAAAACGCTCCATGGTTTGCCTGTGGGCTAAATTCTGCCAGGTTACCCGGGCCAAGGCAGGTGATTCAATAGATATTTTACTTGAGTTTGTTTTCTTGACAAGAGGAAAATAGGAACCGCAATCCCTGAAGAACAGAAAGATTAGAGTTTGATTATAACTAACGGGTCAATAGGCCCCAATGTGGATCCGGAAGTTTGCCATAACTACAGAGTACAATCTGATGGTGTTGTGCTTCGTAGTGGCCCTGATGGCAAATAATACTCCAGGTGACAAAGTAGCAGCATGTTAACCAACAGTCCAAGATGACAAGCCGTCAAAAAAACAACTTCAGTATTATTGACCTAATATATTGCACCATACCATGCCACGTTAGGATGGGTCACAGACATAAGAACTAGATCACCGAAGGTAGCAAGAGAAGCAAACCAATGAATCGTTTTTGTTTGCGTAGTGGACGGCGAAATCTCTGCCTAGCATTCATGTGCAAAATTTGATTCGCTTCTCATTTGTTGGCCAAAATAGACAATCACGTTAGCCATATCAAAAGGGAAGTGACAGAGAAGCACCGGGCTAATAAAATCCAGCAGAAGTTATGGTGAGAAGTGAAGTTCGGTTTTAGTTTACACACTCAATAACTCAGAATTTCGGTGCTCCACTTTGGTTGTTGCTAGTGAATATGCATTTGATCAATTGAGAATTAAAAGAACGATCAAAAGCGCACACGGTGTACACGAGCATACTTTAGATAAATTTATTTTCGAGTTAGCACGTTTACGAACAAATAACAAAACAACGAAAACAACAATCGAAAATGGTTGGATTGGGTATATGCAGCGCACAGATTTTGAAAATCGCTTACTACAGCGGTGCCGCATACTCTCTTCTCTGCTTTATGCTCATGAATCGGTATTACTTTGGATTTCGCTCAATGGAGTTCCTCTCGTCTGCACCGATCCTCTTACTTTGCCCACTTTCCCCGAGTCCAGACAACCAGTCACAATTAGCAAGTATCTGCTCCTAGGTCGCGCATGGTTGGTTTATGATCTCTTCGTTCAGGAATCCCATCCACAGGTCCGTTTTTATCCCGCCTACAAGCTCCATCTCTTCAAAGTAAGAGTCAACAAATTGGATCCATTCTGAATGCCCTCCCCAATATCGCCTCTTCTTACAACGAGCGAAAGTGATTTGCACAGCCTTGATTCAGAGTGAAATCGAATTGCATTGCGATAATATCGGGTTAGTATTGAAGACAATAGCCGCAAGAGTAGGGTAGAAACGCATCTGTAATACCCGACGGGGGGACCATTGTGGATGAAAGAAAAATGAGCGAAGTCCCAAATGGGCTCAGGGTGAACATGAGTGAATTATTCTGTGGCGCTTCGGAGGACGACAGACATCATGAGATAAAGTGTCTCTTTACTGTAAAACAAAGATTCAGCAGTATTTCCATTTTTGGGTAAACCGACCGTATGTTTCACCTAGCATCTGCATTTGCAAGTTGGTCGCCCTACACATACAAATTATCTTGCTAACAAATTGAACTTTACTACCAGTATTCTGAAAAAAGAAAACAACGTAAAAGGACCCATCCAGAGGGGATCCACTACCATTACCACAAAAATTTCTGAGCGTCACCCCTTGCGATTTTGGTCTAAACATTTCCCGTCTTTTGCGTTAATCTTTGCACTGAATGGCGCCACCTAAAAAAACATTAACTCTTTTGTCCGATGCCTGGAGTAATTAGTTTCGCTACAACGCATTACGATTTTTCAGAATTCTGGCATGTAATTTGACGCTAAAGATAAAGTACTGACTCTTAAACGTGAAATCGGATAACAATCGTCTGTAAAATTAAAAAAAATAGAGGGCACAGGATTATGAAATAATGCTTAACGGAAGGGTAACATGGTTGACAGTATCGAACAGCACGCCAGTTTCAAAACTGACTACTGATGAAAATCATGAAATACCAGGGAAACCAAAATTTTTAAGAGTATCCATTCACATTTCTGACCTGAATAAGAACGCTGCTTCAAAATACCCTTGAGAATTGGAGGGGTGATCACATTGGAATCGTTCCTTCTCTGACGCAAGCCAACGTTCACTGTCAAACTGCTGGATTTGTTTGCCTCAATCGAACCTGACAAAATTTTACATGAAGGTATGGACGCGGTGCGAGACCAGGCAATTTCACAGCCTTCTGTGCACAAGTTATTCACGATCAGCTGACTAGCAGACGATGCAGCAGGATGTCCTGGGAGGGTAGAGTAGACGTGATCCGCGATGGAACCAGAAAGCTTGCGTGTGCGGGTCAAACAACCTTCCACACCCTCGAAAGGGCATTCCTAGATTGGGGATAATATAGACAAGATTGGAACGTTGCGTAAAACAACGGCTAGAATCATGGTTAAGACGCAACACACTGAAAATGATGTACACCAGATTCACCAAATTACATAATGAACAAAACGACCTAGAGTTTAACGCTTGCGAGGCTAGCTTACATAAGTCCTTGACTGAATTAGAACCATCAGATTTTCTAGATAGGTACCATTAAAAGCACTGAGGGGCGATTCCGTTTTAGGCAGCTCCACTGTGGTCTGGTTTACTATACTACCGAACTCAATGATTTGCGTGCTACATTATTACAAGGTCAGGTTATTAACTACATTCAACGTTCTCACTGCTATTATGCTATTCGTTTATTTAACTAAGAACCATTTGACAATTACGAATAACTGCAGTTTATTCGTCTAGAAATCTCGAAAGATTTTGAAGAAATCTGGTATTGTACTCCTGACGAAACCGCTTGGTGTTTAGCTCAGTCTGGTACTCATAAAATTTTGTTTGCAAACTATGACAGTTCAATTTGAGTCAACAGACTGTCCTTCAGTCCCTCCATATGAATGACCCGGTCTAACAAAGTTTAAAGTCATCTAGCGATGTTGTCGTTTTCTTCAAGAATGATGACCCTGTAACTGACCTGCGCCATTCTTTTCCCCCTTGTTTGGATGTGCACTTAAGTTTGAATAACTGTCTCCTCTTAGATAACGATTCTTTCTCTGGATATATCCGTTGAGGTTTCAAAAGGGATACACGAAGTCACATTCAGTCATACGATTCTAAAATGCAACTCTGGCCTTAGAAAATTCACGTGCTGCTTGCAAAGCAGTGGGTTGGTACAGCATTGCATTTTAACAACTAAAAACACACGTCGTGGCAAGGCTCAAGAGAACCACCTTCCAAAATGAGGTCACAAAGCACCAACGAAGCCACCTCAAACCCATTCAAATATGTTGCAGTTTGTTTGTCAGTACTCGATCACCGATATTGCCCAGCTTTGGTGGTAACTTATGTGACTGATGACTAGCATCAATCAGGTGCATTGGTCAGATTTAAGATTGACTCACACTCAAGCCAGTTTTCTTTTATTCGACCTAAACACACCATGTTCCGTCAGCTCAAAAAATATTGCTATGGTAAGAGTCTCTCAAAGTAGTTACTGACTGTTTTCTTTTGAACACAATCTGATTGTCCACTAGGACTTTTCTAACAGAGGTGTCAAACCGTATTTCTGACATGTGCTATTCTGTGATAAATTTGTTTCATGAATATGGCAGAATATCAACACCGTTTCTTGAATATTTTCGTCGTGAAACGGAACGTGCATTTACGTCTTTTCTGTGTAACAGCGGTTGGATTCCCATTATGCAAGTCAGTTTTTTGGACAAGGAACTGTAAATCTATGTGGCGTGGAATCAAACTACTCTGCAGACAGAAGAAAATGATATTCAGCCCTTCTATTGATAGTGAACAACCGAATGGTGCATTTATTCATTCTTCGTCTGACATACGCTCCAGTTATATCAACTCAAGTTTTCCAAACATCCCACCTGCATTTTAACCAGTTACCTCCAGTGAAATACACAGACACATGTGTTTCCTAAAAATGTTCACCGCACCCCGGGCCGGGAGACCTAAGTCCTGCACTTCTAAAACAGTGCTGAGCCACTGTTTCACATTTTTCACACAGCTAATCTCTCACTCGACATATAAAGGAGTGCTGGCGCCCGGTAAGAATTACACCCATTCCCACAGGAACAACAAAAGCCTCAATTGCGAAACGTTTCAAGCCAAGTGCTCCCACTTCCCCTGAAATTGATGAAGCGATCAGTTCTGCATCACCTTCAGTTATCTATCAGTTAACAGTTTGCATACAAATGTAACCATGCAACACTGGATGCTGCTTCTTCTCTTGTTCACCTTATCTGCAGTTCTTGATTATCCTTCCGTTTTTGACTCTCTTTTACTTGACAAGATGCAATAGTTTGACTGTCCCACTTTTCTTCCTGTGATTACTTTTTGCAAAAATTGGAAAGACCATCAACGGTATCAGCCAATAGTTCGGGTGTACTCCAAGGTGCTGTCTTATCATCCAGTCGTTTTGTGACTTATATCAGGGAGTCACCCCCCCCCCCCTTNGTGCGATGGACAGCAGACGGGGTACACCCCGCAGTCACGAAGACCTGCTGTTAAGTGATGGAAACCGGTAACCTAAGCCCCGGGATTTGGAATGGAGAACCACATAAGGCCCCGCTAGGTTAGGCGTGGTATTAAACCGGACAACAGAAAAGCTGCTACCACCAAAAATTTTGCTTATGACAAGGCAATTTCCGTTTCCGTATATAACTAATCAGAACTGGCAGTATATATCACAAACTTTTCCCACATCGTTAGATCTTAATCTTAATCCCCAAAATACACAAAATGTATTTGTACTTTAAACCGTTCCCCACCTCAATCCGACAATGTACAGATTCAGGGAAAGCCGATGAACAGGGCCAGCAATGTGAAGTACTTAGATGACACACTTCAAAGTAACTTTCGCTGATCTTTGAATACCCAAACTGTTACTCGCAAGTTGAAAGTTCACTCGTTTCAGATAAGATTGCGTCACTTTGGTTTTGATTTATCGGTGATAGGNNNNGCTTTTGCTCAACAATGTGTTCTCTCTATACTTCTTTACTGCTCCCCTGTGATTTTCACTGGTTTGCAGTAGGCCGATTTTAGGCTTCTTGGACATGGCCTCTCAATAATCAGCTGTTTCTTATGTCCCGTTATCTTTTCTGATTGGCAATAGCTGCGATGTTCATCTTGATGCGTGCTTGAAGTTTACTGATTACATTCTATCTGAGTGCACCCATCCTTTACACATTGACCTGTTTGCATGTAAATCCTAACACTCTACCCGTTCCGAATACAAGCTCATCCCATCTCGGTTATCTGCCTACAGAAACTCTCTGATACCCTATCTTGCCCGGACACTGACCGATAAAAGGTGTTCGCTCTGAGCCTTCTAATGCACTTGGTACTCAATTCACATTTTTGCACGCTTGATGTCCTACATTTTCCCTCTTTTCTCAGTATTGTGATGGTGGTTTCTTTTTGGCTGAAACATCGTGGTGGTCAGTAAATAACCTGGTATAGGGACAGAAAAAAGAACAGCCACTGACTGATTTCTTCAGATTGCGGGCCATGGTGAAGGGTTTATGAATGAAGTACCTTCGAAATACCAAGGGGTATGGATCGGAATCGTCACTAATCACGAAGAGAGAAGAGATGTGAATGCCCTTCCTTAAGCCAAGAATATCAGTAAAAAACAAGCAGTATAGAAATGAGAACAAAGTAGCTTCTCTTTACACACTATATGTTCATTACGGTATCGTAGGTCAGGATCCTTTTCTTCCATTTTCAGTCGTATTATCCCGATTGTTTCGGGCTCTACCGGTGTGTTGTTCCGTGAAAACCAACACAGTTTGTTAATGGCTATCCAAGAAAACCTCACCGCTGTTTGTGTTGTCGTCAGCACACAAATGCACTCATTCAGATATAAAATGGAGAAAAACAAAGTGTGCGTTTGTATGTGCAACTGAGTTTTTTCAATTCAAGTCAAAGTTACTCACAAAGTAAAGTGAAGAGCTGGGCTTTTAAACTACTGATTGTATCAACAGTAGCAGAAGAGGAATAATGAATTAGGTCTTTGGGGATATGACTGTTCTTGACTTTCCAGAGATTTTGGAGCACTGGTAAATAGATATAAATTCAGATTGTACAAAAAAAGAAGACGAAGATTTTTAAAGCGACGAAATCCGTCCATCCGTGGCAGCAATCTGGGTCAGGTTGCTTACAGTAAATTATGAGGTTTTCCTGAGGATTTCGTGATACAGATTACGGTCAGTGAAGTTTTAACTTGAAACGAAGAGGTAATTCCGACGAGAAACATTCCAATTTGGAGCCACAGGGATTACCTGCCACAGACACTATTCAAGGTGCTGGGATAAGACTAAGATGGTTTATACACCCGAAAGGCCTGGTCTTTCCATGGTCGGGTGTGTTGGGGTGTGCGTATTTACCCATCTTTTGCATCCCGTGAAATGCTTCGATACGACCAAGAGCCCCAAAGTTTCCGCCGAGCGTGTCCGTCTCATTGACATCTTGTGGTATTTTTCTAACAAAGTAGGAGGACAAAAAGTTGACAACCGGAGCAATAAATGGGACAGTGAACCACTGGCAGTTTACACAGGGAGTTGGTACAAACACCTTAATCCAAACCAACCAAAGAGGTGCACCACCATATCTACATCGTCCTGATGGAAGCAGATGATAAACGCTGGCTTGAGTACCTTGAACGGATGGCCCAGTCCGA